CACACACACACACACAAACTATCACACTCACACACACACACACACACACACACACACACCATCACTCACGCCACCTCACTGACAACGCCCCTATCTCTTAAACTTTCTATCTGTTCGTAACCACGCCCTAACAAAGCCAGAAGCAGCCGCAAAAATAAGAACAAGATTACCCTGTTGAAGATCTTCAGGTGGCCAATCTAATTATTTCGTTCTTGTAGACGACAGTAGACTTTTCTCACATCTGATCGTTAAATTAAAAAATACAAAAACAACACAAACAGTTAAAAGCAAGAGCAAAGCTAGATTTCAGTTCACGACGCAATTTAAATTCTTTGACATGCTTGAGGCGTGTTGTAATCAACTACAACAATTGCTAGTGTGATCCAAAGATTTCCCAATTAACAAGCAGGCAGCCAGAAACGGAGAGCAAATTTTAATAACGCTTTGCAAAAGTGGAAAGCTGTGCTACAATGTCACAAAAGCTTCGCAGCGTTTATTGTAAGCATTAAATAAAAGAACCGTCCGCATTTTTGAATTTCAATTCAAATAGTATGGACCAATCGACACCACTAGGCTACTGTACTTGTATTTTACACGTTATGATTGTATTTTTCCTAGAAAAGCCAAATACACATCATTTACAGTATGAAAGTTACATTCCTAGGACCTCCATTCCATCTCTTCGATCACACAACAGTTAAAGAGAAGCACGTGGGCTTTGCAACTAACATTGAGTATAATTTTTTTCTATTTTTTGGGGAAAGGGGGGGGGGAGTGAGACAAACAGACTGGTCATTAAAGGGGGAGAGCAAAGAAATAGGACCTGTCAGTGGCGCCACCCAGTCACTCGCCACACAACACTCATGCTCAACTTCAAATAATGTGTACTATGATATACATCATTCAGAGAGTGACACTGTCTATAATATTTGAGCAGTTTAACCTCTTTCTTCCTCTGGACAAAATGCTGAGGTAATCAAGTATTTTTTCTGCGGCCTAGGCTGAGTGTTCATTGATAGCAACATTTTGTTTTATACCATCAACGAAACGATTTAGATCATATAGGAGGCAGATGTTGCTTTCAGTTTGCAGGCTAATACGTTGATAGTATTATACTCGCAAAGAAAATCCACAGCCTTGCACGCTGATTTTAGTCTTATAAGAGGTTTAAGACACTTGTAAGACAAGTAGGTCATTTAAGTCTCGAAGAATAGAATATGCGTTACTATAGAGTAGATACACAGAAAAGAAGGAGGAGAAATAACGACGATAAATATTGGACAGAATAGGAGGAGCAAACTAGATCACCCGCCAACCAAGCACAATAATATGATTTTTAGTTTAGTTTTAGTAGAGGTTTTACGGCACTCGCAACTGCATAAAGTCATATGAGCGCCAAGGGGTGGATGTCAACAGAGAAGTCCTTACAGGCAATCAGGCTTACTCTGCTCACCTCTCTAGTAGCTTCAACAGCACAAAGTGAGCTTCGACTATCAAGGCACCCCGGAAATAGCGGGTCACTCGAGTGTGACAAAGATACAAAAGTAGAGAAAACATGATAGTACGGATTAGGAAAGACAAAGCAGCAGTTCCATGTTGCAGTTCAGGCACAGTTATGAGCATGATATTGAAGAATCAGTCCATTTATAATTATAATTCTACTGTGCATAAGAACATGGTGAATGTCCCCCCTTTGGGTATGGCCTAACTTCAGTCAGTAGTGTTGCCCCAAGGACGACTACATTATATTTGTAAAAAAATGGGGGGGGGGGGCTGCGTTAGATTTCGCCTATCGCTGCCTGTCACGATACTTAATACGACATACTATAAGCAACTTAATGACATGAGGCTGTCGAGTAGTCTGGTAAGCGAAATCCTTCCTGTGATGATGAAGTACTTGTAGAAATGTTTTGGAAATTCCCTCGCCGACATCTTCTCACAGAAAGATAAAAAACAGAGATGACGTTTCCAGGTCATGACTGGGAGTGTCTGTGTGTGAGAGAATTTGCGAAAGTGTGTGTGTGTGTGTGTGTGTGTGTGTGTGTGTGTGTGTGTGTGTGTGTGTGTGTGTGTGTGTGTGTGTTTGGGGGGTGTGTGTGTGGAGGGGGGGGAGATGAGGTGTGTGTATATTTGTCATGGTGGAATCAGGCATTCGTCAATTTTTGGGCATGTGGAGTTATTGGTGTCATCTTAAATCTTGTTAGTTTGTCTTGTTTTTGATGAAAACACCCCAATCTATTTTGAATAGAAATCAAGATATATACCATTGAAAAAGGTGGGCGGTGCCTGTTGGTGGAGGTAAAATTTGCGAGAAAATGGCCGCCAAACTTTGGTGACTTCCATAGCTTAAGAGTCCTTTGAAACTGAAAATTTACTTTTTTTTTAATGCCTACAATCAACATTTTTCAATAAAATCCACACAGAAATGTGTTTTTAAATAGACATAAAATGTGTTGAGCCAGAGACCCCTTCTTTACTATCCAACAATTATCATCTTTATCTCCCCTCCTTTTTTGTGTTTGTTACTCTCTTGTAACACCTCTAATCTTCGGCATTTATGTGACCTTATTGTGTTGCAAGTGCCGTAAAGTACGAGCGTTGAGATACTCTTGAGAAAATCTTTAAAAGAAAACATGACTCCACCACGCTGTCTCTCAGTATATTTTCTCCCACCGTCTCGCAGGCTGGACGCCAAGGTGGAGCGTCTGCGAGTGACCGGCACGCCCCGCAAGGACTACACGCCCAAGATGGTCAACTCTGTGGGCGTGTCCAAGGACGACAACAACTCGCTGCTGACCGTTGCCGTGGAAACCAACCCTCTGGACGCGGCCTTTGACACGCGCATCCATGTGTTGTCGCGGCCGCTGGAGGTTATCTATGACGCGGTGAGTGGGGGAGGGGGAGGTGGAGGGGAGGGAGGGGAGAG